CTGTCGTCCCCCCTCTCCCCGACGGCGATGGCGGTGTGACCGATCGAGCTACAAGAGGAGCTTGTTCAGCAGGATCCGGGATAGTCAGATGCACTACCTCACTGGGCCTGAGACCATCGTACGACGCACCCATCACCGTCTCGGATTTGTGTGGAGTCGAACCACTCCGGGATGGGCAAGCCCATCAATGTTCCTCACCATCTGGTTAATTGTCAAAATTCCTGTTGTGCAAGAGGGGAGGGGGCTCTGACGGAGTGTGAGGCGGGAGAGGGCAGGGAATGGGCGCGGGGGAGGGAGGGGGGGGGGCTCAGCCGTGCAAAAAGCATCAATTATCAATAGTAAGGAAGACATATTGCCCGGCCGTTCAAGAAGTCCGTCTCGATTTTCGTTTTTTCCCCACAGACCATTCGGGCAACTTTTACGAAAGGCAAAGTTTTACTTGACCACTCGGGCAGATTCGATTGCATTTTACCACTCGGGCAAACTCGATGAAACGGGCGGACGGAAACGCGTTTGCGACGGCTCGCCGGAGAGCATGCATGGAGCGGCCGGTGCGCCGCCGCAGCTCACCGATGGAGCCTGCGTCGCGGCTCAATCCACTGACGTAGCAGCACTGCGACACACTCTCCAAGCACGGCCTCTGGCGTTGCGATTGCACAGAGAGCGAGCAATAGGCGCCAAAAGCACAGATCTGTGTGCAGTGGATTTCCATGTAGGTCGCGCCCAGCGAGCGGACAACCGCGGGTCTCGGATGCTCTCCCGGACGCGAGCCCATCGTGCGAGTGGCGGACCCGGAGGCGGCCGGCCCAGCTCACCCCCAGAGAGGCCATGGCCAGGGTCCACAATCGCGGTCACTTGTCGGCAAGGACTCTCTGCCCAGCAGCTCGGAGCAATGCTTACGATGCAAGGCGTCGTGCGCGACGGCCGCGACGCATCCCTCTCCAAGATGCGTCTCGCCCGCACCGACTCTGCCTCCTCCATAAGCTCCTCCTCCATCAGCTCCTCCTCCCTTGGCGACTCGCCGCTCTCCACGTCGCTGACGAGAACTCGCAGCCGTGAGGAGACCACCCTGGTGCCCGCCAAGCGGGTCGCGCGCCCCGTCCCCACGAGCGTCAAGTCGGACGCCTCGTTCCTCTCGCAGCTTACCCCCATGGTCCCTCCACCCCCGCAAATCACCAGCATGAGCTCTCTCCACCAAGTCGTGGCGCGGGCTCAGGAGCAAGGCCGAAAGTACCAGCTGGCCTCTCCCGGCCTCGCCTCCCTCCGGCTCGTGCAACTTCAGCGCGAGGTTGCCTCCGCCGCCAAGTCCGCCTTCGTGCCGCCGCCGCCCGCTCCTGCCCCAGAGCCGCCACCGCTGTGGGACGCGGAGGCTGAGGAGTTGCTCGCCACGCTGGACAAGGAGAGCGCACTTGGTTTCATCGAAGGACATGCAGACGAGGCGACAGATTTGGAACTCGAGGCGTGGCTATGCCAGAACAGCTCGATCTAGGCGTCAGATCTGAGGCCAATTTTGATGCCATGAACCTTCT